AGTAAAAGAAACTACCACAAAAAAAAAACGAATAAAAGAGGAAAGTAGAAGAGTTCTGAAAACTGATGAAGTATACCTTTGACTACAACGGATGTGTTACACGTAAAGTCCTTCTTTGGCAGAATCATGTGTTAAGCACGTACTTGATCGTCGATAAGTGGCTAGTTGAGTCTTCTTTAAAGCAGCGGTGTTTAAGACCGCTTTGGTCGCGTGAGACTTAAGTACTTGTTACAAAGCTATAATTTTTCGTCCTATCTTTCTTGCTACCTCTACAGGTTTCGCCTCTCAAATAACGTTCGTTAAAACAAAAAAAAAAAAGTAAAATTTTTTTAAATTTGATTTTATGAATAATATGAAGTTGGAACTGAAGTCGGCAATAGCAATCGAATGAGTGAAAAAAGACATTTTCCTATAGACCAAATTTCGTGCAGACATTTTGCAGCAGCTTTCTTAGAACTTTTGCGGAAAGCAACATGTAAACGGCACTCAAACTGTGTTATTATTTAAATGTATAAAAGCTACAGTTGTGTAGAATTATCTCTTTTTTTCTTCATTCAAATGTTCAGTGAAATTGCTTCAATTTATGCAGTTATTGATCAGTTTACATTATATTAAAGTTGCTTCCGGTTCAATATTCATTTGTTGGTACCTATTTTTGAATAAATGTTTCGTAATCACGGTTGATACGGAAAGAAGTACCAGTGCAGTAACAAATTTTTGCTGAACGATAGATTTGCAAAACTCCAAAATAATCAGCGAAATGCTGAACGTTTTTGAGCAGAAACAGCTAAAGTAATAATCTTTGAAAGGTTTTTGAAAACAAGTAATATTTATTAGTTTTTTTAATGTATATTCGTTTACGAAGATCAAATAAAATAGTTTACATTATTTTAAGGTTGCTTCCGGTTCCTAATTTTCCTTTGAAAAATGTGTTTTTAAGAATAACTATTTTTCTTTTGTTTTAATTTTTGCCTATTCAGTAATTGTTTTATTTTTTTTTATTTTATTTTATTTTATTTTTTTTGCAAAAAGTATAAAAAGTAATTTCCAAATGCATAAGATTTTAAAAGACGATAAAAAAGAACAGTAGTTGTACTTTTTTCGACATCAAAAGTGTAGGTTAAGAAAGGGGAGGAGGAAAAGTTTTCAAAGTACCACCTCTTTGTCTGTAATTAAAAAATGTTTTATGCAAAAGCCTTAAAACGTAACAGATCTTAAAAACTCTGCCCACTCACAAGATTTATTTTTTTGTAAAAGAAAAAGTAGATCAAATTTTGTAGTTTTTGTAATATAAATTAAAGGACAACCACTGTACCTCAACTTAACCAGAAAAGGCTTCTGTATTATTCGTCAGTGTCACATTTAAACTTTCATCTGCTATGTTTCTACGGCATTTTTTAATTTTCTGCGCTTTTTTTACACCAGTATTTTCGCTTCACGAGGTATCACAACTTTCGATTTTGTTGATATTTTTTATTTAAAACTTTTTAATTCAGCTTTCATTTTGCGATTATAAAGAGAAAATTTTATCTTTCAGTACTTCGATTTAGAAATTATCGTACTAGGATATAAAGCTCTAAGCCTGACAGAAATAAAAGATGTTCAGCACCACCGTTATAAATTTAGGTAATAGTTTTTGCTTGAAAGTCAATAAACTAAGAATCTATTTTGAAATTGTCAATGCTTAGTTTTAAAACTAATTTTTAATCAAGCTAAGCAGGGTTTGATATTTCAGATTTTGTGCATGTAGATTATCAAGTCAGAATCCAGAATCAGATCAAAACTGCAGATGCACTGGAATTCAGCAAGGTGAGACTGCACTGAAATCGGTTCCGACAGTCCTCTATTCATCTGGTTGCATTCATGGAACAAAAAAACTGGCCTGTTTAGTTAGCTCTATAGAGGGAGCACATCCAAAGGTTCCTCATGAAATCCTTAAAGTCAGTTTCACTAAACGACATCAAATGGAATTAAAATCTACTTTTTAGGATATATTTTATGCAAAAATTTCAATTGGCGATCAGTCTGTAACAGATCCTCCCTATCAACAGATTACCGTTTCTGGTCAAAAGCGTACAGCAAAACTTAGCTGCTGTACTTATAATCGATCCTGCAAAGATTGCAGACGTTGTAAAAGTGGAACCATTGAGTAGAAAAAAAAAATTTTTTTTTACTGATTCTCATATGCGATAAGTTTACAGCTGTACATAAGTCAAGTGAATAGTGGAACAAATAAATTGATATAAACTGAAAATTACATATATGTACTTTTAGAGTGACCTATGTTATTCAACCACGTTATAAACTGTCTAAGAGATATTTACCTGAATACTATAAACCGAAAAAACTAGATAAAATATTTCAAAAGACTGGAAATGCGCCGAAACATAGCCGTATAAATTTATCATCGGTAGCTTTCTTTACTTTTTGTTTTTCGATGATTAATATTGCAAAAAATTTTTTCTCAAGATATTTAGCTTTATATATATATATATATATATATATATATATA